TGGGTGGCAGAGGGCTGGGCACTGCAGCCATCACCAGCAGTGGCAACGGGGTTTCCCACCCCTCGGGAACAGGAGGAAGCCAATGACCCCGCCCCACTGGGTCCCCCACCCCCGCCTCCTCTCCCTGGCCTGGGTGTCATCTGGGCCGCCTCCTCCCAGCCCCCGCCCAGCCGAGCCCTCGGGAGCCAGGGGTCCGTGTCCCCGCACGTGTGCTTGCTCAGCCGTGTTTACAGTTGTTGAACTATTTTCGTCAATTAATTAAATACACGCTAAATCCTGTGCGATTTGTTGTGCGATAAAGTAAAGATGCTAAGCTCGTGAGACGCACAACACAACCTGTTTACGCTGATAAAGAACGACTCGAGCGTCAGATGGTTCACGAGGTGCCTCCGCTGTCTGGTTGCACCCAGGCGCGCCTCGGACCCTGGGTGCCTCGAAGCATTGTCGCAGGTCTGGGTCCCTGAAAGAGGCGATGATTGGCCGTGCGGGTGCAGGCCAGGTGGGCACCGCCCCCAGGGAGCCCTCCTTCCTGTGCCTCCCGCCCACTGCCCAGAGCCTGGCCTGCTGGAAGAAAGGGGGCAGGGCACACACCTCCGGGGTCTCTCCAGGGTGCTCCAGCCGTGTCCCCAAGCGGTGGCCTCTGCTGAACTGGATGACAGGTGGACCACGTGGCCCCTGCTGACTCCTCCCTAGTCCTCTGCATTCAGGAAGTGCCTGCAGGCAGCTTTTCCCTCCAACATGTGCTGGACACGGCCGTCCAGCGAGACTGGAAACCCCAGGACCCCTGGCAGAGCCAGGAGACAGAGACTGGCTCTGATGGCACCTGTGGGGAGGGAGTGGCCAAGAGGGAGCTGACACCGACGCTGAGGTTTTGAAGGGTGAGTAGAAGTTTTCCAGACTGAGACGGGAGGGTGGAAATGGAGTGGGGAGGGGGAGTCTAGACACGGCCTGTGTGAGGGACGGCACCTTACCCTTGCATTCTGCCCAGGAGTGAGCGCTGGAAACGCTGACTCAGCAGGCGACAGTGTGGTCGGGGGCACAGGACGAGGGAGGCTGGGGTCTTGTCTGTGAAGTGAGGAGCCGTGGGTCCATGGCAAGGGGCTTGGTCCTGTGCGTGATGGGGGCTCCCCGGGGGGCTTGGGGTGAGGAGAAGCGGGCAGGGTCACTCGGATGTCAGGGAGGAAAGAAGCGTGCGATAGTGTAGGCGAGAGGTGACGGTGGTCCCCGTGCAGGGGCCTGCGGGAGGCTGGGGGCAATCGACTGTGGCTGAAGGGGGGCAGAGTGCCCAGGGTGCACCTGCAGGCTCTGCTGGGTGTCCTCCCTGGAGGAGGCAGAACCATGGTGGGAACTGGAGGATACGAACAAGATGGACACAGCTTGGGGGTGAAGGGAGCCTCACTGGAGACCAGGAGAAAGCCGGGTGCAGGTGGACAGCCGGAGCTCGCTCGGGGAGCTGGAAGGTGGGCATCGAAGCAAGGCGGCTGTCTCATCCCACTCGGTGACATCACAGCCAAGTGTCCAGGGGACCGCCCGGTCAGCACGAGCCTGCGGGGTCAGCAGCCGAGGCGGGGGAGCCGGC